AAAAAGATAAAAAATAAATGAGAACAAGACGTTGAGCCTGTTCTAAGGACATAGAGCTTAAAAGACAGATTCGTATGTGCTGGTTTTGAATTGATCACCAGACCATATTTGACACACTGAACATGAGTGAGCACAACATACTGAGGCCAACTTTACATCATCAAAACAAAGCCTTGTCCCCAAAACATTTAAGACAAAACCATCCTAGGAAAAGATTTTACTAAATTACTCATCCATAACTTCTTCAGCTTTGCCATAAGCTTCTGCCTCACCATTAGCTTCCTGCTCGAGTTTCGCATCCATGAAAACATCTTCTCCACCATTAGTTTCTATTTTGGGCTTTATTTCCTCAACACATTCAGCCTCATCAACCAGTATAGGTATAGGCTCAACTTCCGACATCATCTCCACTTTAGGCTGCTCGGTTTCCATTTTCGGCTTCTTCTTCAGCTCCGCTTTAGGCTCAGAGGTTCGAATCTGAACTCCACCGTTCATTTCTTCATCTTCTTCCTCTATCTTAGGTGCTAGATAGAACCTAAGGTAACCAACTTCCGAAATCTTGTACTCTACCACAATCGGCAGCTCTGACGACAAGCTGATGGTCACTTGGCTCGAAACTGGGGCCGCTTTGGCAAAGGCGTTCATGTACCTCAGCGCGAAAGTCTGTGTAACGGGCTTTTCCATTTCTATCACGGTGGCATCTTCTGGCTGAAAAGTGCAAAAGCACATGTTTGGTTATTATACTGATAAACGAAAAAAACAAATGTGTTTAGAGAAAATAACACTAACGTTGTCTACTGTAGTGTTTTGTCGGCAGACGATGTTGGCTGTACCAATGTCGCCTCTGGTGGAGAACTTCACGCCTTCTTTTGTTACAGATATTACAACTGTGAATCAATAATGTCTCAATTCTCAATTCAGTGATATTACAAATTAGAAAGAAAGAAGAAAAGGAGCCTCAAATGTGTACCAGTATCACCAATGGAGCTGAAATCTCTGCAAATCCTTGAGTACTCGGCGGATGGCATTCTCACAATGGCTTCATACTCGGTATCCGGTATCCCGAGATGCTCGCTGTCGATGTCCATGAGCTTCATCTCGAAATCGGAAATCTTGTCTTGTGCTGCAACATTTATAAACCCGAGAATTCGACATGGATATCAGTACATCACCAGATCTTCCAAGACAAGAAACAACTTCTTAACCAATCATACCCATTTACATCACTGAAAACAGGCCACGAATTAATTGAACACAACATTCAATAACTAATCAACATATCCCAGCAAAAAAAAAAGGAACAAACTTTAGGCATCCCAACAGGCCAACAAGCACATATGGTGAAAACACAACCAGTCCAGACAAATGCCATAGCAGACAAAAATAAACTCCATATAAAGGAAAGTACAATAGAGGGAGAAATTAATGGTGCATACAAGGGTTCTCGAACATGAAGGTGACGGTGTCAGTGCCGTCATCGGCCTTGATGGTGATGATGTCGTCACCGGCGGCGCACCTGAGCATCTTGGCCATGTTGGCGAGGTTCATGCCCATGGTGAGGCTTCTGTCGCAGCGGTAGTGGTCAAAGGCCTCGGCGCGGAGGAGGAAGGAGACGAGGGCCACGTGGCTGGAGTCCATCGCTTGGAGAGAGAAGCCGGTCGAGGAGCAGTCGAAGTTGGCATCGTTTACGAGGTCCTTGACAGATTCCAGTATTTTCTTGAGCAGACCACCCTCAACAAGCCTCAGTTCAAACATTTCTCTCTTTTTGTGTGTGTGTGTGTGTGTTCTTTTTTTTTTTT